ATCTATCGGATTCATTTGGTTCAGATTTTTTTTTCTCTCAAAGAGGTCACAAAATTGATAGCAGCTGTTAACCAAGTGGACAGTATGTCTGAATTCCAGCATGACTTCAATAAAGTTACTTCATGTGAAGCTGTGAAGTAAATGAATTAATTCCTGCAATAGCATTGAAGACTTGTGCTCCAGAACTTGCCCGACTCCTAGTCAAGCTGTTCCAATGCAGCTACACTACAGCATCTACCAGAATGTGTAGAATTGCCCAGGGATGTCCATTACACAAAAAAACAGGACAAATCCAACCTGACCAATTACTGCCCCGTCTAACCTCAATCATCAATAAAGTGATGGAAGATGTCATCAACAGCACTATCAAGCAGCACCAGCTCAGCAATGCCCAGTTTGGGTTCCTCATTAGAGCTTTAGTTCAAACATGGACAAAAAGCCGAGAGATGGAGATGAGAGTAACAGCCTTGACATCAAAGGCCGCATTTGACCGAGCGGGGCATCAAGGAGCACTAACAAAACTGGAGTCAATGCGAATCAGGTGGAAAACTCTGCTCGCTGGAATCATACCTGGCATAAAGGAAGATAGTTGTGGTTGTTGGAGGTCAGTCACCTTAGTTCCAGAACATCAATGCAGGAGTTCCTCAGGGTAGTGTCCTAGGCCCAACCATCTTCAGCTGTTTCAACAAGAACTTTCCCTCCATTATAAGGTCAGAAGGTAGAATGTTCACTGATGACTGCACAACATTTACCATTCATATCTCATCAAATACTGAAACAGTCCAAGTCCATATGCAGATTTGAGATGACAAGTGGGAAGTAACATTTACACCACAGAAATGCCAGGCAATGAGTGCCTTCAACAAGGCAGAATCTAACCACCATCCGTTGATATTTAATGGCACAATAATCACTGAATCCCCCACTGTCAACATTCCAGGGGACGAGTGGGTGGGGAGGTTTCACCATTGATCAGAAACTGAAGCAGACTGGCCACATAAGTACTGTACTGTGGTTACAAGAGCAGGAATACTGCAGTCACTTCCTGACTCCCCAAAGCATGTCCACTATCTAGAAGGCACCAGTCAGGATTGTGATGGAGAACTCCCTACTTGCCCAGATGTGTGCATCTCCAATAACACTCAAGAAGCTTGACACTGTCCAGGGTAAAAACAGCCTGCTTGATTGGCACCACAAACACTTCACTTCCTCCACTACCAACACACAGTAGAAGCAGTATGTACCATCTACGAGATGTACACAGAAATTCACCACAGCTCTTTAGGCAGCACCTTCAAACTCATGACCATTCCATTTAGAAGAACAAGGGCAGCAGACACATGGGAATACCATCACCTGCAAGTTCCCTAACTAGCCACCCAAAATCCTGGCTTGGAATTATTTCACTGTTCTTTTATTGTCGCTAGGTCAAGATCCTGGAACTCCCAACCCAACCGTTTTGTGGGTCAACCTACACCAAATGAGCTGCAGCAGTTCAAGAAGGCAGCTCACTATCGCCTTCTCAAGGACAACTAGAGATGGGCAATAAATGCTGGTCCACAGACATCACCCATATCCAATAAATACCGTATGGGAAAAAATACTGTCCCCTACATAATTACAAGGCCATCACATATATAGACTAAAGTTACCTTTAATGGAAAACAAGTTGTTCAGAGAAATATAAGCACTGTGGTTTTGGATTTCAGACGAGGTTTTCATTATAAGAAAGGAATGCTTACTCCCTGACACTAAACAGACAAAACTAAAACAGCTTAAGGGTTCCTAAAATATATAATTCAAGAGAATCAGCAACATTGGAGATATGCAACCGTTGCATGAGCAAGAATGTTACAAAAATATGGAAGGTCAAACCAATCTGTTCCAAACAAAAACAGGAATTGCTGGAAAATCTCAGCAGGTGAGGCAGCATCCGTGGAGAGAAATCACAGATAACGTTTCAGGTCCAGTGACCCCTCTTCAGCACTAAGTAGGTTTTTTGTTCAATCTGTTCCACAGTCAGGGTTTCATCCACTACATAACTAGGACTGTCCACTTGGCAACTGTTCTGCAACAAAAATCAGAGCTGCTCTGCAGGAATCAGGCTAAGGAAAATAGGTCCAAATCACATTCTATGCACCTTTGCAATACTCTGTGCAGGAATGTGTTGCAGAATAAGTAAAAGTAATAGCCAACAAAAACTGAACCCCATATTAAATCTACACTGGATATAAATAATAAAATGGAAAATACTGGCATTAGACTTTTTCTCCATTTAAGTTTATCTATTAGAACTGATGAACTAAATGAGTTCTGAAAAAGTCATACCAGACTTGAAATGATAATACTGTTTCTCTCTCGACAGATGCCGCCAGACTTGCTGAGTTTCTCCAACATCAGCACTATTTAGCTTTTAGTCAAAAAAGTGTATATGTTAGTTGCTTCAGGATTAAAGAAACCTTTCAGCCACAGAACTAGATGTTGTTCACATTAGTTTTGTAAAATATTCATCATGAAAGCATCAAAGAGTTATTCTGATGTGTTATGCAGATTTTTTTGGCCTGCCATTGATGGTTTGTGTGCACATAAGGGGGGACCTAATTAGTTTTTCTCTCATCCTCAACTGCTGCTTCCTGTTGGAATGTTTTTATTCTAACCAACCAATTCTTTCTAAAATCAATTGCCATTAATTCCAGCAGGAACCACTGGATCAATCTTGCGATTAAAATACAGAGTAAGACTTTAAGGTTTTTGAGCAGATCTGTAGCTCGGGTTGTGGATATTACGGTTGATTCACTTGCCGAGCTGGTTCGTTGTTCCACAGACGTTTCATTACCCTGCTGGGTAACATCATCAGTGCAGCCTCCGATGAAGCGCTGTTGTGTTTTCTCGCCTGTTATTTAAACCCTGGTGTCCGTCGAGTTGGGTTAACTCACTTCCGGTTTTTCTTCGCAGTGGAGTGTATGTGGGGTCTAGCTCTATGTTTGTTGATGGCCTTCCTAATGGAGGACCAACCCCCTAGGAATTCCCGTGCTTGTCTCTGCTTGGCCTGTCCCAATCAAACTTGTGGTTTTCCTTATCCATGTGGATGGAGATGAGAGCATACTGGTCATGTCTTTTTCTTCCTAGTTGATGTTCATGTACCCTTGTGGCTAATTTTCTTCTTGTCTGTCCAATGTAGTGTTTGCTGCAGTCTTTGCAGGGAAACTTGTATATTACGTTGGCCCTGTCCATAGTGGGTAGTGGGTCTTTGGATCGGGTTAACAGTTGGCATAGGGTTGATGTGGGTTTGTGTGCTATTCTGATGCCCAGTGGTCGTAGGAGTCTAGTGGTCAGTTCAGATGTGTTCCTGATGTAAGGTAGCATGAGGACTGTGTTGGGGCATGCAGTATCTTCCTGGTGTCATTCATGTAGTAGGCATCTTCTGACCCAGTTTTCCGAGTATCCGTTGTCCTTGATACTTGGAGGAGGTGCTCTTCTTCTTGGCATAGTTCTGTGTTGTTGCCCGTTTAAATAGAGTTTTCATGCAATTTCGTTTGTGTGTGTTAGGGTGGTTGCTGTTGAAATTCAGTACTTGGTCAGTGTGTGTGGCTTTCCTGTGTACTGTTGTTAGGAATTGCCCGTTGGTCCTGCGTTCCACCATGACATCCAGGAATGGGAGCTGTTTGTTCTTTTCCTCTTCCCTGGTGAATCTGATCCCGGTGAGGGTGTTGATTATTAGTTCGTGTGTCTCCTCCAGTTTGATCCGTTTAATAATTACAAAGGTGTTGTCCACGTAGCATATCCATAGTTTTGGTTCGATTAGCGGAAGGGCCATGCTTTTGAGTCTCTGTATTACTGCTTCAGCTATTAGTCCGAAGGTAGGTGATCCCATGGGTGTCCTGTTGATCTGTTCATATATTTGGCCGTTAAAGTTAAAGTGGGTAGTGAGGCATAGATCCAGTGGCTTCAGCCTGTTGTTTGTGGAGATGGTGTCACTCAGATCTTGTTCTTTTTTCAGTAGTGTTGCTAGTGTTTCCCTTGACTTTCCTCCATTACATCACCCAAATAACTCTTGAAAAATCTTTCGGTAACTCAGGTGATCTGGAGTTTCTTCCTGGTTCAACCAGTCAATGCCCATGAGATGGTTCTTTTCTGCATCATCTCTCTGGTTTCAATGTTTCTGATGTGTGCTGAGTCAGCATGGATGCTGTAAACTTCCACACTACTTCTGCTCCTTCACCTTCCCTCGGACTAAGACCAGATTAACTCAGCCCAGGCCCATCAGCAAACCTATAATCGTTTTGGGTCTGTACAGCTCATACAGGCATTACATATATTTGGTGTGCAGTCAGCAGGAACCTTGTGTTTTATTGATGTGTCAATGTCTATTCATTCCACTATCCTTTAAAGTGGGTTTATTAGGGGATGGAAATGCACAAGAACAACAACAGTGTACAACAAACGGAAGTTTTCACCTTAGAAAAGGCTGAGATAACAAATTGATGAGTTCCACCACATCTAAATTTTCTTGCTCATAAAACCAGAATATTTCAGATTGAAGGCACCATAGGCTGTGGAACCAGAGACAGAACCTAATACCCCCTCTAGTTATTATTTAGTCTTAAGTACCTGACCACAAACATAAATACGAACATTCTTACATTAAGAAGCATATTATTATTAGTGTTTTTAAAATGATATGAAGATGAACCTTTCCATCTTGTACTCCAAGATTAAAACTCATGCAAACCAGCTTTAGAGATGAAACAGCAATTTACATAGCATTATCCAGCCCTGACCAAACAAGGTGGAAAGCTTCGACTTTAGGTGTCTTTCAATAATGTTCAAGTCTTTGTTACGAAGAAATCATCATTCAATATATAATTATTGAAAAATATTTGTCCTTTAAGGTTTATGTTTAATTGATACCTGTTGCAGGATGTAAAACAAAGCAGCACAGCCAATTTTATTTCTTTAATAGACAACAATAACAATACATCAAAACATGGAGGACATACCTTGGCATAATCAGCTTGTTTGCCATTTACTTTAGCCTAAAATCAAAGAAAAATAGGTAAATAAGTATTTTGAACTACTCAACCCAAAATTATTTATTGGCAAAGCTATATTTGATTAATTTTGTTTTAATTCATCATTACTTATTCTCTGAAAAATTCTGTAGAACGTAAGATCGCATTGAGTAGCATTTCCAATTGTAATGTTGATGCACATTTGAGAAGAAACAGTGGATGCTTATAACCTAAAGGTGATATAAAAATACTAGTTTTGGTTCTTTGTTTAAATTTCATCTGGACTTGAATATCATAATTTGAACACTCCACAAAATTCTATATGAAAATCTGGTTTACAGAAAATGCATATACAAAACCGCTGTCTAAACTCTGATACACTGTATCGTACTAGTTTTTGATTTGCAGAACTTTGCTAATTTGAAAGGAATGATTATATTTCACCTGAGAGACTCTTGACTGTACTCAACCATTGTCATAACTCTTTCTTCAATCAAAGGCAGGACTGGCTGAGTTACTGCAGACCTGTGCACAGCAACTGTCAGTATCACTGCCTGGAAGGAGAGGAGGTGATTCACTTCTGCAGGGTTGAATTCATTTGGTCAATTCTCCTCTCCTCCTGGCCCATCCACAAAGGAACACTGAACTTTCGGACAGCAGTGAATTACAAGCAGTCAGACAACTTCAGTTTTCTCTATTTGTGTCACAAGGAATTGAATTCAAGTCTCCTGGTGTGGAATCCAAGTCAGTGCAACTGGGACTGCTGACTTTCAAAGCAGTTCAAAATTTGCTCTTCCAAGCTAGGAATCAAATTTGAAGTACATAAGTCCTTCTTCTTGGATAGTGCCTCAAAGGCTAAGTTTGACTTATGAAGAAGTATCATACACCACCCATAAACATTTCATACTACTTTATTTATTTTTACTTGTAATTTGATATTTTTAAAGGAAAATTAAGTACGGTTGGAATCCAGTGCTAAACAGTAAGCTATCGCTTTGTATAAGATAGTATCCCAGGCTTTTAACCAAATGCTAATTAAAAGAACTGCAAAATTTTCCATTGTCCAGTTAAAAACTAACTACCCTGTGTGGAGTAGCTGGGCTGATGTGAGAAAGCGGGAACTTAAGGTTAGTTCAAATATTGAGCATGCTCCTCTGGTTGGAGTGAAGAGTTACTGGTGCCTTTTCTCTCCATTAGGCCTCATTATAAGTAACACGAGAGAATTTGATGCTGACATAGAAAGAAGGAATTGTATTTTAATGAGCACCTTTCATTTTCTCAGAAAGCTCCAAGATGCTTCACATCCAATGAGTTACTTTTGAAATAAAGCTTTGTTGTAAAGATAAATATGAAATCATTTGTGGCAAGATTTCACAAAACGTAATGAAACAATCGAGTTAATTGGTGTTTGGTGATGTTATTGGAAGAATAGATGCTGGAGGACACTGGGACAGTTGCTCCACTTCTTGTGAGTAGTGTTGTTGGTTCTTCTACAGCCCTGGCAAACACTCAGATATATATTGGTTTAAAGTATCACCCCGTGCAGCGACATTCCTTAACATTATACTGAAGGATCAGCCTCAATTACGGGAATGCAGCATGAAACGTAAGTGTTCCATGACATGGCTCAAGAATCCTTGACCTGCTGACATAAATGCATCCCACTGAAGAAAAAACATTGAATACTAATGTAAATATATATTGTATGATATTTTATCAATAGTTTTCTTTGGAACAGAAACAGCTTCTGTTAGAAAATGCAAGAACTGTGATATCATTTAAAACAGGTAAAATGATAGTGAAATTGTACAAGAGCCTGGAATTCATTGAATTAAAAATCTGCCATTGAAAGTTCCTGACTATTTATTAACATGCAGTGAAAACACAGCACTGAAGAAACTGCCATAACACTTTGGCTTAATTAGCTTACACAGAATTAAGTTGTAACTTTGAGTATGCAATAAAGTTGGTGTTCTGGGTATACATCACTAATTATCCTGAAATGCCAAGCTGTTATTTTATAAATTCAAGCTGTGTTTTATCAATATGGAAATATTTGTAAAATATACCTCTGTGACTTTCAAAATGTGATGGAATTCAGGCATTTCATACAATGCACAGTGAAAAATCTCATGTCAAAGACTCTAGAACACCCTCTCTCTCTTCTGGTGAAAATATCAGTCAGCCTGACATACTGGACAGAATACAAGTTGGCACAATTTAGCTCTTACAGGCTGTAAGCTTCAAGACTGGTAATCTCAATCAGAGGGGTCATAGGATACTAGTGTGGGAAATGGAAATGCCATCCTGTAAGTGCTCTTCTGATGTCAGAGATAAAGGCATTTAAAGGACAGTATTGGGGAAAATTACAGGAAACTCTATATCCTATCTAGCCATTCATACCAACAGTCTGTACCCAAAATCCAACAAGAGTTCTGTTGCACAGCACCAATTATGATCTTGATCATTAGCAAACTACATGTAAATTGAAATGGGTCAAATAAAAATGAGATAGATGGTTTTGTGTATTCTTTGGGTTTAGATCAACAGCTACATACAAACAAACTGCATTTATTTAGAACCTTTCACACTGCAAAGGTCTTAAGACACTTTCAATAAGCAAAATTAATTCAGGTAGTAGTATGTAAAGAGTTAAGGCCAGTATCTAATAACAAAATCAAAGTTAAGGTTTGATGTTGCTTTTAAAGCAGGAACAGAAGTACAAGACAGAAACATTTTATTTACAGAGGTCCAAAATATATTGTCCAAACAGCTGAAGATTGTCCCACCAATCACAGGGTGGACATGGAAGAGAAAAGGAAAGAATACAAGGCCAAAATCAGATAAACAAAAAAGGCAAGCACAGACACATATGCAGTGGGTGGTGCGTGTATGAAACGAGCTGCCGGAGGAAGTGGTGGAGGCTGGTACAATTACAACATTTAAAAGGCATCTGGGTGGGTATATGAGTAGGAAGGGTTTAGAGGGATATAGGCCAAATGCTGGCAAATGGGACTAGATGAATTTAGGATTTCTGGTCAGCATGGACGAATTGGACCAAAGGGTCTGTTTCCATGATCCGTGACATAGGGCTCAAGGAGATCACTACAGGGAGGAAAGGTTTCTATCTGTCTACCCTCTAAATCCTTTCAAAATTCCAAAAGCCTCCATCAAATCAACCAATTGCTTCATATGTTTGAGGAAGTACAGGCCAAGTCTAAACAGTATTTCCTTATAACTTATTCCTTGATCTTGACAATATTCTGGTGAATTTGTTCAACATTCTTTCCAAGGTCATACAAACCTTTCTAAGCACTGATGTCTAAAGGGGTGATGAGATGGTTTCAAACCAGCTTCCTTCTGGCAGTTTACTGTTGGCTCCCACATTCTAGGTATAATGCTACGAGGGAGTCAGCTGGAGACCTTTCATGTGCTGTTAGCCCGTAAGGTGCTGATATAACCTAATGGTTATTTCTAGGTGCCTTGTGTCTTAGCATTGACTTCAGCATCATCATCCTTCCCCAGGGTTATTATTATAGTGGAAGGCAGATGCTGAAGTCAGTAAACAGCAAGGAGTGGATTGCATGGGGACAAGGAGAGTGTGGGGCTGTGTGTGTCAGTCAGGATATTATGACGCTTTAGTAATCCATGCCCAGCTCCTGCTCTCACTGTCCCACTTTATGCTTCATCGTTCTTTTTTTCCCACAAAATCTCCTCAGTTTCCTCTGGACTTTGATTCCCTTAATCTTAAACTCTTCACCCCTTTGATCTTCCCCCCTCAGCATCCAATGTTTTGTTCTAAAGTGTTTCCAGATGTATTTGTGCAGCATTATACAAAATAGAACTACCTACCTACTGCCACTCCCTAACAATGTATGGCACCCAAGTATCAGCCTTGATTTTGGTTTAAACAATGGAATAAGATTTGAACTTGACATCTTTTGATTTGGCGATGAGAATGCTACCAACTGTGCTAAACTTGATATTGTTATAAATTTTTCATAAGTGAAAATAATTGTAATATATACAGCAAAACTGGGACAACATTCAGGCATGGGACGAAAAGGAGCGAGTAACATTAGCGCCACACAAGTACAAGATAATGACACCATCTCCAACAAAATAAGAATCAAATCATTGCTCCTTTTTGTCAACTGAATTACCATTGCTGAATGCATTTCAGTCCAAGAACATCTCTGCAGGAGTTCCTCAGGATAGTGTCCCAGGCCCAATCATCTTCAGCTGCTTCATTAATGACCTTCCCTCCATTCGAAGGTCAGAAGTGGGGATGTTCACTGATGATTGCTCAGTAATGTGCACCATTCGCAAATCCTTAAATACTGAAGTTGTAAGTGTCTGTATGCAGCAAGACGTAGGCACCTTTCAAACTTGGCTGACAACAGGCAGGTGATATGCACCACACAAAAGTGCCAGGAAATGACTATCTCCAACAAGAGAATCTATTCATCGCCCCCTTGACATTCAATTGCATCAGGATGACTGAAAGCCCCAAATCAACAGACAGAATGAAAAGAACCACAAAACAGCAACCGAACTGGATCAGCCATTATAAATACTTTAGCTGCAAGAACAGGTCAGAGGCTAGGAACTCTGTAGCAAGTATTCATTTCCTGTTTACCCAAAGCCTGTGCACCACCTAGAAGGCTCAGCTTAGAACCGTGGTGGAATACTCTCCACTTGGCTGGATGAATGTAGCTCAACATTTTAGAAGTCTGACACCATTGACGACAAAGCAGACTGCTTTATCAACCACTTTCAACATTCACTCTCTTCAGCACAGTGGCAGCTGTTTGTGCCATATACAAAATGCCAAGGCTCCTTGCACAGCATCCTCCAAACCCATGACCTCTTTCAAATAAAAGAACAAGGGCAGCAAATGCATGGAGCACCAACACTTCAGGATTCTCTTAAGGTTAATATGCAGGTTCAGTTGGCAGAAAAGGCTGCAAATCCAACGCTAGCATTCATTTTAAGAGGGCTAGAATACAAGAGCAGAGATGTAC